TTAGGTTTTTTTACTACACTTAGTCTACTCTGCTTCTATCTACTCTTCACGTAGAGAAAAAGGTTGGTGATGAATTTCTCCAACTGTAAAGCTTGCCGAGAGTTGGATGATGATACTTCTTCTCAAGCTTTTCTGGATAGAGACTATAACTTTTTCTTTCGAACTGGATTTCTTATCACTTAGAACTTGATACTTTCAGACTTATATTGCTTGTAATCTCTCTGCTTTTCATCTCTGGAAGTGCTTCAATTTATAGGGATGAACTTTGTTTCTATTGCAGAAGAAAACAAAATTCGATTCACCCTATTGTTTAGTGGATAGTAATTGTGGGATAAAGAGTGCATGTGACTTGTCAGTCCAAAATAGTCGTTGGTCCATAGTGTGCTGATCTGTTTTGTCACTTATCACTGCATCATAGGACAAGGCATTAATTGATATGTTGACCTCGGGATTTGTTCTTAGGACATCGTTATCCTAGACAAACCATATCTTATACGAGATAAAGAACTATTCATCACAAAGGATGATAAGACTTAGTTCTTTATGCCGTGATGATTCGTGTGCACTCTTTGACTAGTTGACTTTACTAGTCACCCATTTATCGAATGAATCTTTCTTAATCATTCGACCTTGATTCAAAACGTGGACCCTTCCATGATTCGGTCTACTTGCAACCTTTGGATCGTCAATATCTTCTTGTCTTCAAGTCTTCAGATCTTCTTTTCTTCGAATCTTCAATTCATCAAATCCTTGATTCGTCTAGAATGTATGACTTTTTCATTCTTTTTCTTACCACGAGTCGATGGGTGTGACTCGTTTACAGAGGCCAAAAGGTGAACATACTTAAGACAAGTTCGGGGTCTAAAATTCTAATTTGGTATCATCAAAATCTAAATACAAATGTTCCTAACACCAAACATTTTTAAGCATAACCAACTAGCTTAACAGCTCTTCAGTTTTCAGCTTCTAGCGTATATCTTTTAAGCTTTCAGCTACCTTTTCAGCTACCTTTTCAGCTACATAGTCTAAAACTAAACCTTTTTGAGAAAAAAAATTATTTTTATTTTCACACTTAGTGAAAACGATGTAATTTTGATAGACTTATAGGACATCAAAATATTGTTGTGAACGAGATTAGCATACATGAATTCATTTATTGTGTTTACATTTACTACAACAAAGTATGCTTGCAAGTTTCAAAAAACACATGTTTTGAATTGCAAATGACTTTTACAATCTCCAAGGCTAACATTAATTGATTGGAGATTAATTTAAAATTCAAAATCAAAATTAGATAAACATCTACACCTACTTCAACACAATAAATAAGTCATCATACCACAACCATTACTACAATTATGTTTTCGTCGTGATTGGAATTGGGAGGATGGTTATGGCTGGAATAGGGAGAAGATTAACCATTCCTTTCCAAATAATCTTATATCTCTTATGGAGCTTTATGCCGTGCAATCTGGGGAATATGAATATTTTTGGGATCTAGAAAACTCAGGTAAGTTTTTGTTTCCTCGACCTTTACTTTCTTGCTACTTCTGACGATTGGGTGCAGGACGCAGGCTGGCTCAATATTTGGAAATTAAAAGCAAGTGTCGCATAAGAACCTTAGAAAGTGAGTGACACACACACACACATACACATATAGAGTCGCGTTCTGGTGTGAATGGCGTGCCCAGGAGCGAAATGCGAACCAACCAGCGCGCGCCACGTGTCCAGATCTAGGTACACATATAGTTATAACTAGATGCACCTAGGTGAAAGTAGGTGCACGTGTAGGTGAAAGTAGGTGCACTTATAGGTGATCAATGAATGTTAACAAGGCAAAATCACATACACTGGTAGATGAAAGTAGGTGCACTTGTAGGTGAAAGTAGATGCACCCGATCACTTTTTACTTGCATAGGTGCACCAACTACTTGTACATATAACACATCTACATGCACCAAATTACACGTGGCGCGCGTTGGTTGGTTCACATTTCGCACCTGGGTGGCCATTTGCACGAGATCGTGTGTGGGGGAGGGGGAGGGGGAGTGGTTCTGGTGCGAAGGATTTGTCAGGCGAAAGATGGGGTTAGATCTAAACCGTTGATCAAATCTAGATTAGTGGCTCAAATCAATGAAAATTAAAAATTTAAAAAAAAGGCGTTATCTCTTCTAGTTCCAGGGTCATCGGGAGCTTGATCGTTATCGCTTCTCTTCTGTGTTACTTTGGCAATGTCCATTAACTGATTGCTAAAACATGATTGGAAAAGGATAGTGGTTGTGTTTTGTGACTGCAAAAAAAAAATGGTGCACTTTAAGAAGGAAAACAACACACCTTAAGTAGGAAAACAAAACACCTTAAGAAGGAAAACAAAACACCTTAAGAAGGAAAACAACGCAACTAAAGGTTTAGGCCGACGCACCTTAAGTTTCAACAACTAACGCACCTTAAACACACAGCACACACACCTTAACAAAGAAAACCACACACCAAAACCTTTAGACCGATGCACCTTAAGTTTAAACAACTGACGCACCTTAATCACACAACACAGAAACCATGCACCTTAAGCACAAAAACCACGCACCTTAAGAAGAAAAACCACACACCTTAATTTTGACCTAACGAAAAAAAACAAAATTACCACTGCATTTCTTTAATCCTTGTTAATCTTGGACGTTGATATTGGCAAGATCAATAACTCTCATCTCACTCCACGTTCGCACATGAACACACCATCCACATTTGATTATGTAATTTTGCATTTCCTCTTTTTAAACAGATTAACTGGATTAATCAACTGACGAAATGGACTGACTGATTCAGCGGTGAAGTCAGTCAGTAAAACAAATCATAGCAAAGATTAAAGAGAAGATAACAGCACAAAACCAAAGACACAGAATGTTTACCCAGTTCGATACAGTGTGTATCTACGTCTAGGGGACGATCACATAAGCGTCCAATCCACTAAATCATAATCCAATGTACAAAGGTAGATATACAGTAATCTTACCCAAGTGCCCCACACAAGGTACATACCCAGTCTATATAGGTTTAGTGGATTGTTGAAGGTGGAGAGCCATGCATACAGAAGTCCAATGAAATCACTTCACTTGGAGAGCCCACTCTGATGCAGTCCACTTCAATGACGCTCTTTACAGTTGTTCCCACTACAGTGTGATCACAGTGTCCTTTCGTTTAAGCAGCAGTGATTCTTCTCAAGTTCATCATCTTAATCACCATGAACATGTTGTATTGAGAAGATGCATGATAATCAAAGAACTAATCTCATAAAGCATACGTGGAGTGTTTCTTCTTACTGAAGGCGTAACCCTAATTCTCTTAGAATGATGGTACTTATAGATCCGTCGGTAGAACACTCCTTCCATAGTTGTCTTTGATTGTAGATGGTAGGACAATATTTGAAGAATGTAATCTTAAAGATTCGGTCCATACCTTTCCAAAGCAGATACGCTGATCTTCCTTCCAAATCTGTCTTCTGAAAACCGCGTACAGTTTTTAAGTAAATATTTTCTTAAATCAGATCTTCAGTGTCAGTCCTTCTGTTGTTGCTTCTGATTGATCAGTCGTCTGTAGAGCTGGACGGACACAAGCTAAACCTATCTTAGTATGCCATAATAATATTGCCAATTATAAGATGGGGTTTTTTGAACAATTAAAAACACTAACAGATTCATATTATATATACATACATTACACACTCACTGACATTTAAGTACAAAACTCACGAACATTAACATTACACACTCACTGACATTAAGTACAAATCTCAGGCACAATAAGCATGCGACTCACGCACATTAATCTACCGCACGGGAAACCACAAATGCACCTGATCCTTTCCATATATATATATATATATATATATATATATATATATATATATATATATATATATATATATATGTGTGTGTGTGTGTGTGTGTGTGTGTGTGTGTGTGTGTGTGTGTGTAACACCCTGAAATTTTTAAACTTTTGAAACTTATATAACAAAGGTAAGTTCTCATTAAATCCCAAAGCATAATATAAATAGTACAGGGTGCTATGCCACACATGAGTTAGAGAACTCAGGTGCACACGCTAAGTAACTAATATCCTCAACAAAGTAAAAGCATGAGCATGGCACGCAGGCCGAAAGGGGAAACTGTCTACTTCTACGTTCCACAATTCTAGCGCGCTCCAGTGTCTACTCTTCTATGCCTGAAAGCCAAATATATCTGTTCAGCGAGAGATGCTGGTAACCCACTCCAACGCGTTGAAATACAATACATATAGATATATACATAGATATACGAAAAACCATTTCGAAGCATGAAGATATATCCTAAGAGACTCTAGCTTTCAAAACGGGGATTAGACTCGACAGATAGGGATAAGCACAACCAACAGTCATAATCAAGCATGCACAATTCACAGGCAGTTAGAGATAAGTACATCCAATAGTCATAAACAAGCATATACAGTTACTAGCATATATCCTAGGGTCACGCTTCCATAACAACCCAATCATCCATATCTCATCACATAGCACACTTTGTTGGCGCCACTGGACCAATCGCATGCCCATACATGAGGGTCAGCGCATATAGCTCTGACACGACCCCATAGCACCCTGCCCCGTATCGCAACACGGAGGGGTCGATCGCAACCGACCGATGAACCGCAGCTCATCATAGTGTTTGATCGCAACCAAACAGTGGACCGCAGCCCAAGAGTATGTCATCTGACCGCAGCCAGGAAATATGAACCGCAACTCATGTAGAAACGTTTGATCGCAACCAAACGGTGGACCGCAGCCCAAGAGTGTAAATCTGACCGCAGCCAGCTTCTGAACCGCAGCTCAGGAATAACCAATCCGATCGCAACCGGATTGGTGTATCATGCACACATAACACATAGCAAGCACATGCAACCCACATTAATCACACTGGGAATGGGGAGAAAACGTATAACAAAACTTATGCGTGATCCTTCACATACTAAGAATAATCCTAAGGGGTACATACTTCTTTTACCTAGGTCAACGGGATACCCATTCAACTAGCATGCAATATATAAGACTAATACCACCTACGAACGGTACCCGAAATACCAAACTAGACATAGGCACGATAGACGGAGTCCGTTGGGACACCACGGGGGTCGGGGGAACATCAAACGGGGAAGCCAAAATCTCAAGGTGGGGTAAAATCCAGCGGGTAGCCGGTGGGTGAGGGGTCACCCGCCGGCTGCCCGCCGGCGGCAGCGTTCCGGGCAGCGGGTGCCCGGCGGGCAGCTGCCCGCTGCCGGCGTTACCATCATAGGCCGCGGGTAGGTGGCGGGTCCCCTACCCCCCACTGACTCTTTTATCACAGAAAAACGCCCCGGGAACCATTGTGGAACCCGAGACCATGCTTAGACACTTTCAAACGCAATTGACAACAACACGTAGATAGTTAACGGATTCAAAAGCAAGAACATACGGCACATAACCTATCATGCTTTTCTAAACATAATCAACACCCAAACATGCGAATTCCCACCCAATATACCAAGAATAATACCATACGAATTCCACGATATAACCTAGGGTTCTAATTATTTTTAAATCAACAAGAACACAATTCATCTTCTAATATCAAGATTCGGTAGGAATATCATATAAACATCAAGAACATCATATAATCATCAAGAACATCATATTGATAAGCCTAACATATGTGCATATTATATATATTATTCCATTGTGATTTTAAGTTCATTATTATTAAATTGGATTAATTTTGAGTTAAATCTTATTAATTGTGCACTCTTTGACATATAGGGACTTAATTGAGGAGAATCATGAGTTTTGGGGTTAAATTGTGAGAAAGCTTATTTGGTGATATGAAGACATGTTCAATTGGAAGAAGATTACAAAGTTCAGGGGTGAATGTGTGAATCTTAAAAAGCTTTTGGTTAGTTCTGGAGGGCTCAAAACTTAGTAAAGGAAATTGGGAATTAAATTATGGGTAGTTTTGTTTCTTCACGGCAGTAGAGTAAAGAAGGGAAAAATAACCCTTCTTAAATTGTTTCATCTTTGGGGTACGGAAAAAAACAGAAAGATAAGGAGGAAAAAAGACGGAAGAAGAGAGCAAGGTCTGGGCGACGGAGCGACATACGTAGGCAACGGAGCTTCAGCTATCATCTTCTTAGGCTTGAATTATTTTCCTTCATTCCTATTTTATTTCTTGTTTGAATTTCCAGAATGTTATTCCTTGAACTTCCTTTACATTTAATTATGATGATTAGCTAGAACTTTAATTAGGGATTTGGATTAGCCTAAATTAGATTAATGGACTATTTTTCATGTGTTAATTCTTCCAATTTCAATTTAATAATTGAATTTGATTATATTTATTTTATGTATTTTAATTGTGATTTGTGTGATTGGCCACTGCATAATTCTAATATTAGGGTTCATAAGAAGAACTGACAGGTGAATTCTGAACCTAGAACTCATAAGATAAACACAATTGACCTAAACTAGACATAGCTTTAGGTATTTGTGGTGATATTTGATTGTTGCTTAATGGGTTTAATTAATGTTGGTGAGATATCGACGGATGATCACAATTAATTGGATACAACCTAGTAGCTCCACGGAGTATTAGGATATCTTTGAAACAATCATCACTATAGTCATAAGAATTAATACTTAGGAGAGTTAGTTAATTATCTAATAGGTGAACCCCAAATCCCTAGTCTTCTCTCAACTGGAATTTTCCTTAGCTTTAAATTCATAAATATTCTTTTTAGTCACATTAATTCTACTTATTTGAGATTTTCCTTATCAACAAATTGATTATTTAAGATAACAGTTAATAGTGTTCTTCGTGGGATCGACCCTGGAATACTCCAGGAATTTATACTGTGATTGACTCTGTGCGCTTGCAGATTATACCAATCAAGTTTTTCATTTTCTCATACTTGCTTTTATATTTAACATTGAGGACAATGTTGAGTTTGAGTGTGGGGAAGGGACAGTAAGATTCGGGGATGTTTTATGCAAAATAGGCAATATCAAAAAAAATTCTGCATTTTTCTTGCAATTTTCTGCAACATTTTCCGCATTTTTCTATTTTTCTGCATTAATTTTCTGCATTTTTTCTGGAATTTTCTGCATGCATTTTTCTATTTTTCTGCACTAATTTTCTGCATTTTTATGGAATTTTCTGCATCTTTTCCTTCATTTTTCTGCAATTTCTTAGCAAATTAAGTTTAAAAACTACCATCTAATGACTATGTTGGTTGGGAGATAATTTCTAGTGTTTTGGGAGTGCATAATATCAATGAATGTGTTTGGCTATATGTATGCTTGCATAGAGTTAGTAGTCAAATTCTGTCACACCGTGAGCTTTTGAGCCTAAAGGTTGCCCACTGCAACTTATTTTCATTTTGAGTGTTTATTTGCCCTCTTTGATTGTGTTACTTCTAGAACTTGCTTCATACCATTTCAGAGCTACATGTTATATGTTGACACGAGAATGATTTAGGCATTAGGATTTAACCTTATAGCCTTAAAAATGACCACATCCTTATACATTTTAATTTTCCCCTAGTGAACCATTTTTGAGCTTTAAAATATATAAGACATTTTTCTTCATTAGCCAATTCCAAAGAACCTTAGCTCATAAAAAGAAGCCTTTTAACCCGTCCTTGAGTCAGTAGAAGTCATTATTTCATTTATCTGTGCAAGATGACCAAAAGTGATGAAGTATGGGTGAGATTGGAGTTGAAAGGTGATTGTACAATTGGTTTTCTTTGAGTGAAGAATTGTTTGTGATCAAAGGATGTGAAAATGAAAAAAAGAACAAAATGATATGTTCTAAATTATAGGTTGAAAATCTTGATAGTCCAAATTTTGGTGCTCATTTTATTCTTAAAATGATTTTGTGAGCAATGAAGGCATGATAGAAATTTGGTGATTATGGGAAGAGTACCATTGAGGGTTGTGTGAAAATGAGGAGCAATCTATTCGGTTTTACCAGAGAAAAACAAGAGGAAAAAAGAGAAAAAAAAAAGAGAAAAAAAATGAAAAAAAAAAAAGGAAAAAAAGATGAAAAAGAGATGGAGGTTTTGAAAGTTGTTTATTAGTGAAAAGGATGAGGGGGAATGAAACAGTGATAGCTTGTTTTAATAGAGTTCATTGTATGGGTAGAATATGAGTTCGTGCTCTTGATATGGTGAAATTATGATTCTACTGATCCCTTGGACTTTATTTGTATTTCCTTATATCCTTTCTTTCTTAAACCACATACCCTTGGCCCCATTACAACCCAGAAATAAAGACCTTTTGACTCGTGTTTTTCATATAATTTGGGTAGTGGAGTTTTGGTGGACAAGCAAGCCTATGGCAAGTGCACTCTCAATAGGGGATGGTGTGTACCTTTATTATACATGTTTATATGAGAGATTTAGTGAACAACCGTGAGGACTACTATTCTCTATTGTCTTGTGTGCATATGACTTTGAACTCTCATGAAGTATTATGTGTTTACCAATTCCCTTGGAATTGAATGCCTAGTTGACATGGTTATGGTTGGTAGTTTTATTTCATTGCATAAGTTTGCTTGGGGACAAGCAAAACCTTGAGTGTGGGGAAGTTTGATAAGCTTAATTTCTAGACATTATTTAGAGTAATTTTAGTTAGTGAGTTGCATAAATAAATTAAATTTTAGGGTCGATTTTATTATAAATATTATATTATTTATATGTTACTAGTTTATATTGGTTTTAATAAATATTAGGCTAATGTTGCATTTTTATTAATATAAATAGGAGTTTTATTTTAGCTATAGTATTAAATTTATTTAGTAGTTTTATATCTTAAATTTTAATTAAGTTTAATTAAGTTATGTTATTAGGTTATAATTGTCTTTACTTTATCTTTATTTTATGTTATATTATTTTATTATTTTCCTTTGAGGTTTTGCGTAGCAGGAAGAGAAAAAAGAAAGGGATTAAGGCTTAGGTTATATATTGGGTGCGTACGGCAGTAGAGGAAAATGGAACAGGGGGAAAGAGGCGAGAGGAATTGCAGTGGCTAGGCATGCAGCGGCGGCAACGAAGCAATTGAGACTACAATCTTCTTAGGCTTGGATTGCTTCTCTTGTCTCAACTTTTATTCTCGTTTCTATCTCTAGAATAATATTTCTTGAATTGTTTATGCATTTAATTATGATTATCGGATAGAATTTTAATTAGGGATTTGGATTAGCTTTGATTAGATTAATTGACTATTTTCCATGTGTTAATTCTTCCAATTTCAATTTAATAATTGAACTTGATTATATTTATTTTATGTATTTTAATTGTTGATTGTGTGACTGGCCACTGCATAATTCTAACATTAGGGTTCATAAGAAGAACTGACAGGTGAATTATGAACCTAGAACTCGTAAGATAAACACAATTGACCTAAACTAGACATAGCTTTAGGTATTTGTGGTGATATTTGATTGTTGCTTAATGGGTTTAATTAATGTTGGTGAGATATCGACGGATGATCACAGTTAATTGGATACAACCTAGTAGCTCGACGGAGTATTAGGATATATTTGAAGCAATCATCACTATATTCGTAAGAATTAATACTTAGGAGAGTTAGTTAATTATCTAATAGGTGAACCCCAAATCCCTAGTCTTCTCTCAACTGGAATTTTCCTTAGCTTTAAATTCATAAATATTCTTTTTAGTCACATTAATTCTACTTATTTGAGATTTTCCTAATCAACAAATTGATTATTTAAGATAACAGTTAATAGTGTTCTTCGTGGGATCGACCCTGGAATACTCCAGGAATTTATACTCTGATTGACTCTGTGCGCTTGCAGATTATAGCAATCACATATAATCATCAAGAACATCAAGAACACCATATAATCATCAAGAACCTCTTATCATCAAGATCACCCATGGAATCATAACACCAATTATCAAGATCGTTATAACGAATCATCAACACACAAGAATATGGGGGAAATCCTAAGAGGGGAATCATAGCTATGAAAATAGGTTTTGTTGAGACATGTGTTACCTTTTAGCCTTAATTAATTCCTTGGCTATGAAGGGTCTTTCTTGAAGCTTTCTTCTTTCTTGATTTCTCCTAGGGGAATTCTTGGAACTTCTTGTGTGGTGAGGGATTATTGTGGTGGGGGTTCTAGATGCCTCTTAAGTCCCCTATTTATATACCTAGGAGTCCTAATTAGGAACTAATATTATAGGCTTGCTAATTCTATTCCTTTTAGGGCTAGGGGTTGGGTTTTAGGGGTGAGGGCCCACGGACTATGGTGGGCCTTTTCTAAATTAATTATTGTAATTTAGTTCTTTCTTCGGATATTTGATTAAATGATTAATTGGTTTTAGGGGTCGTAACACGGGGTGTTACAGTGTGTGTGTGTGTGTGTGTGTGTGGAAGGGTTCAGGTGCGGTTGATGCTTCCCATGCGGTTGTGCGGTTGGACGCACCTTAAATAAACAAATCACCACGCACCTTAAGTCCACAAACAAAGCACCTTAAGAACACAAATCACGCACCTTAAGAACACAAATCACTCATCTTAAGTACAAAAACCACACACATTAAGCACAGAACAAAGCACATTGAGCATAAAATTCACACACTTAAGATTTTAAAATGTCTCACAATAAGCGCAAACTCACGCACATTAAGTACAAAATCTACGCACATTAAGCACAAACCTCACGCACATTAAGCATTAAACTGACGCACTTTAAGTATTAACTCACAAACCTTAATCACTAACCCCACGCACCTTACGCACAAGACTCACGCACATTAATCACAAAACCACTCACCTTAATTTTGACCTAGATGCAAAAATTATAAAATTGCCACCGCGTGTTTGTTTTTAATTTTGGTAATCTTGGACGTTGATTTAAACGAGATGAATGACTTAGATTAAACCGCACCTGATGCGTTCACCCGCACCAGAACCGATTTATATATATAATTTAACTGGGTAGAACTTTGTGTGTTTAAAAAAATAAAGACAAATACAGTTTCTACACTAACTTGATATAAATTATAGATTCAATGAAAAAACAAAATAAAGGGAGAAATATACTTGAATTTTTATAGATTTGTGTTTTTTTTTTTTTTTTTTTTTTGGTGTCGTTTAGTCATCCACAGTCATTACTCCTATGTTAAAGACCAAAGAGTCGAGATTTGGTGATAAAAAAACATATATATGCTATGTCATTCAAGTATTTTGTTTTTTTCACAACATAGTGCTCACAGTGATAAAGAAGTCGTCGGGGGTACCATATGTAAACATTTGAGGCATATAACGTATATGACTACTGATTAATATGTTAATCAGCTTTCAAAGATTGTTAGATCTGTGCTACATCATTCAAGTATTTTTCACGATATATTGTCAAATTTATAAATTAACAAGATAACCTGAAAATATTTCACTTGTGCAGAACTCAAAGATTGTCTAGTTTTTTGCAAACTGACCGTTGTGATATCCAACTACTCTTAATAACGGCTCCAGTTTTACATGTCTAGAGGCAATAAATTAATATAAAAGAACATTAATAAAAATACTAAGTTAAGTTATATTTTGCTGTCAAATTTGATATTAACCTAATATATATACATCAAAGGGCATACTCATCACAGTGACCAGGGCAATCTGATCTCTGGACAGTGTCCCCCTTGAAGAAGTCCAATACAACTAGCTTCATTCCCATGAACACACTCAAGCCCTTCCATGGCTTTTGCAACGCGGATACCTGCAATTGAGAGCCAACTGATGTCTTAAAGCATAAAGTAACACCACACCAAGTCTACATTATCAACAATATGAAAACCAAAGAAGATGGTCAGGAATCATGATAAGATGACTACATTATCAACCATATGAAAACCAAAGAAGATGGCCAGGAATCATGATAAGATGACTACATTATCAACCATTTGAAAGCCAAAGAGGATGACCAGCAATCATGATAAGATGGCTACATTATTAACCATCAACATTAAATATTACATTTTAATTTAAAAGTATTACATTTTTTAATAACAAATAATTTATTCCAAATTAACATTATATTTTTGAAGTATTACATTCTCATTTTGAACCATCCTATATATCTCACACTTATTATCATGAAAAATACTATTTCTAGCTACTTCCAAATTCCACTCCCAACTTTTACCCTTTCTTACAAAATTTTGATGTTGACATTTATTTTGGGACCTATAAGATGAAGATAATTTATCATTTTTTTTTCACATCATGGGGTAAAAGTGAAGGAGCAAAAATATGTAGTATATGTAGTAAAACTAACGTGATTGTGATGCATTCATTCACTATTACAAATAACACGTTTAATGTTGTTTTTTTGAGACTTTTGACGTCGATTTTCCGCCGACGTTGCAGACGTTGTAAAGAAAAGATACGACATCGGTTAAAAAACCGACGTAGTATATATTTTTAAAATTTTTAAAATTAACATACGACGTCGATTTTTAGCTAAAAATCGATGTCATAAGTATATATTAAATATAATATAGAGATGCCACGTAAGTTATTTAAAATAACCGACGTGGTATTGTATTAAAAAAAATTAAAAAAAAAAAACAAATGACATCGGTTAGTGTACTGTACGTAGATCAAAGTTCACCAGCAATATGCCAACACTGGACGAGATTTGAAAAATTATTTCAAAATAGAATCCCTGTTCAACAGCAATACACGAATAATATTTCAAAAATCAAAATACAAACCTGTGGACAAGATTAGAAAAATAAACGATATAATCCCTGTTCACCAACATATGTAATCAGTATTCCTCATGTGCACAAGTAGAAAACATCTTGTAAAATGGTGTATATAGAACCTATATCAACTGATCTTTACATTCACATGACACCATACAAATAAAAATAAAAATAAAAACTTTTTTCTAATATGAAAAATCAAACACAAACATGATGTAGACGAGATCCCTATGGTGTGCGATTTGTGGCGAGCGGTGGCTGTGGCGCGAGGAGCTGAAACTGGAGTGAAACTCGTGGAGCTGTGTGGCGAGTGGTGGCTATGTATGACAATACTAGAGCGAAACTCGTGCAGCTGTGCGACGAGGAAGCGGAATAAGAAGGCGACGAAGAATACTACGATAGCGACGGCGAGATAGGAGAGAAGAAAAGTAGACCGGCGAGATACGTCCCTCAAGCCCTGTTCGTCACCTCGTGACGCGTTCTCAAGCTTCCAGGCATGTAAGAAATTTGGTATCAGAGCCCGTTGTCATGGGCGAACCAACATTGGCAGGTGCCGTCCAAAACCTTCACATTGTTGTCGAAGCTATGAAAGCAGACCAAGACGAGCTCCGTCAGATGTTCTGGCAGCTCTTGGCTAGGAAAGAGACGACAGACGGACGAGAGGACCCATTCAGTTGAATCCACCATTGCGAGCATCTCTTTAGGGCGCAAAACACTCCTGCTTGCGACTACGTTAGCTTGGTGGCTTTCCACTTGACTGGGGTGGCGCAAATGTGGCATTTCTAGTTAGAGATAGAGGAACCCGAACTTACCTGACCTCAATTCAAGCAACGCTGCTACCTGCGTTTCGGCCCTAGCCTCCAGAGTAATGCGCTTGGGTGTCTCACAAAGCTTAATCAGGGGGGTCGATCCGTTGAAGAATACAATGATGATTTCCAATCAATGCTGCATCACCCTACAACAGTCTTCCATGACCAAATCGTCGACCTCTACACCGCGGGTTTAGACGATTGGCTCCGAATCAACGTCGAAAACCAGCGACCGTCGATTTTGGATGTTGCCATGAACCTCGCCAGATCGTTCTCTCGCTGGAAACTCTACATTCCAGAACATCGGTCACCGCATGCTGACTCGTCGTTTTCTCCCTTCGCATGTGGATCTTCACGGGCAGGGACACAGTCGCGCCCTGTTGCTCGACCTGGGCAAACGAATCCTATGCAACCTGGGTATACGGCTCTGGCGACTTCGACGGCGAGCTCCACTAAAAGTTTCTCTGTCGCGAACCTAGGACAGCTACGTCTCTGTTACTGTACGACAGCGGATCGCGTGGAGCAGCTGGAGCGGCGCCCTCTTCTTTTTCTCCCTGAACGGCGTCTCTCACGTTCAGAATATAAGCATCAATGCTCCAATGGTCTTTGTTTTCACTTTGACGAATGCTAGACTCTGGCTCATAATTGTAAATATCTCTTTTTATTGGTTATTGATGAACACGCATGCGATAATGACCACGAACAGTCCGAGCACGCGCAAATCGATTTCGAGAGAACCGGGTATTTCGCTTCATGTGATAACAGGCACTAGTAACAACAACACCATGCGAGTCAAGTTGTAGATTAACACCTCACCAATTACGGCCTTGATTGACTCTGGAAGTACGCACAATTTTGTGGATTCGAGCATGGCTAAACGCTTGGCTTTACTGATACGAGGGTGCCTGTATTTGCAAGTCGTTGTGGCAAATAGAGAGTGCATCACCGGACTAGGTGTTTGTGAAGACATACTAATTTGGAAGGATGACCATTTTTTCCTGTTAATTTATATGTCATTCCTTTAGTTGGTTTTGAAATTGTACTTGGTGTAAACTGGTGTACGTGCTAGTAATGCATTGAAGCACATTTTGACCGACTACTCTAACATTTTTCATGAACCTACGGTATTGCCACCTCAACGCTAGTGCGACCATCGCATTACTTTAATCACTAAGGTAGACCCGATGGCCGTTCAGTACAAAGACTACCTAAGTTATTTGTTAGGAAGGGAAGACGATTTCACTTCGGCCACAAGGCCAATTAAGAAGTTGTTAACCGCTGAACAAAAGCTGCTAGTCATGATTGTATCAGACAGCCTGTTGCCCACTAACAACAAGAGCAAAGATGTGGGAAGCCTTTAATGCACCTTTGCCTATTTCCTTAAGCACAAGGTCAAATTCAACTTACCCACCCTCATGTTAAAACACATGGAGTTTTGCAAGTCTAGCAATCGACTCAGCCTACCCTACGGAATGATCCTAAGTTGGATTATGGAAAGAGAAGGGATAGATGTGAGCCGAATCGAAGCTAGGCCCATAAGTGGGATGGTTTTCAACGCCCAGAACCTCCGCCGCAATGACATCTACCATATCGGAGAGGGAAAATACATCACCCTCGAGGAGGTATGCTTGAAACCCCCGACTGAACAAAGATTGCTAGTGGAGCAATTGGGCATTTCAAACAAAAAGATGAAGCAAGTCGCGCAAGAAGAAAAGGAACAAGAGGAACAAGAAGAAGATGAGCCAAACCACCCGGAACCGCAAGGGGAAGGGGAACCGCGGAGGACCAAGACGAGAGATCCACCAATTAACGTATCCTCGCGCAACTCGTGAGGTAAAACAGGGTCATGGAAGAAGGATTCTCGTCCTTGATTTTCACGACAAGCTCCTTGGACCGGAGAGTGTCGGTGATCGAGGCTATGCTTGGCGCACGCGGAGCTTCAAGCTCGGGAGCAGGAAACCAAGGTACACCTAAACCTCAAACCTTACTTGCCTTCTAACTTGATCAATCCTTACCTTATGCCCATTAGAAAACGAGCGTGTTCAGCAATTTCCTGATTTAATGGTGAAACTACATTATACCCGGGAACTAGGGGAGTAACCTGTGTCTAAGCTTCAGGGACGAAGCTTCTTGTAAGAGGGGAAGAGTGTAACACCCAGTGTTACGGCCTTTAAATCCGGATTAATTATGGAATTAATCCCATTAATAAATATTTTTTTAAAAAGGATTTAATTGGGCTAGAATTCCCTTAATTAATTAATGTGGTCCACAATGGACCATGGACCCTTATCCCTAACGAAGCCTTCAATCCTGTTAGGAATAGAGAAAGTGGGCCTTTATATTCAGATTCTAGTTAGGATTCCTGAATCTATATATAGGGGATTAGGAAGCACTTAGAAACCCTACCACGGTTAGCTCTATTACTCGAAATATTCACCCAGGAAACCTAGCAAAGGAATTCCCCACCACCGAGCCTAGGGAGATCAATTGGAAGAGAATCTTAGAGAAGAACCTTAGTAGCCAAGGGAAATTGATTAAGGCTAAGAGGTAACCATGTCTTACAAAACCTATTTTCCTTGCTATTGTGTATTGATTGGCTCCGTTGGTTGATTGAATGTGTGATTTTGTTTATATATCTTGTTAGAGCTTGTCTTTAGATTTATATGGTGAATTCTTGATATTCTTGATGGCCCTGCGTGGTTATTAGTATGATCTTGTATTTAATTATGTCTAGAGCTTGTCCCTAGGGTTTATATTGTGAATCTTGTTGTTGTAACGTTCTTGGTGTTCTTGGGTGGGTTTATGCATGCTCGAGTGTTGATTCTAGTTTATGACTTGTCTTTAGGGTTTTGCATATAGATTTCTTGATGTTCTTGAGGTTCCGGATGCTCCTGAATTGTTATGTGGTCGATGTCGAGTCTGGGCATGTTTAGGTATTGTGTTAGGACATAATTGTGGTGCTTCTTGGTTTAATTCGTGTTGATCGAATCTGTGTTGTTGTTGATATATATTGGGATGTGTTTGGACATGGTTTCGGGTTTAATTGTGGAATTCCCGGGTCGGGAAAAGTGCCGGAATCCCTTCGTACCAGTGGGGGGTCGGTGGGGAGACGAGTCCCCATTGACCGCCCGCCGGTTCCTTGTCGCCGTATTAGCGGACGGACGACCGCCCGCTGGTACACGGCCGCCCACCCGCTGGTACGGGGCGGCGTGGCGGGTCGTTTTCCCCCGTTTGTTATTTCCCCGTGCCCCGTTGTACCCCGTTCGATGTTTATGGGTCTCGTGCGATGTTTTTAGTACCGTTTTAGGCATTTGTGTGTAGTGTGTATTGTTGTTATTGAGCTTTGATTGTTGTTATTGATTTCTGTTGACTTATTGAATGGTGATGGGTGTTATTATCATTGCGCAATGATGGTTGTGATTGATGAGAAAGAAGATGTGATTGGTGGAAATGAATTATTGACGGTTAGCACAACGAGTGCTCGGTCATTGTGCTATAGGAATTGACCACCCTTGATTTGCTTGCTAAAGGCATGGATCAAGTTATAAGCACCGCTGTGCCATGTCAAGCGCTATATGCATTGACCCCTTGATTATAGTGCTATAGGCACGGGTCATGCGAATGGCACTGCGGAGCTACCATATAGGTGGATTTGTTGGTGGTGTTAGTGGGGGGCATGTGTGCTCCAGAGGAATAAGGGAGACGATATAAGGGTGCCTTAAGGTACATGTTGGAACTGATATAAGGGTGGAGAGGTGTAAAGGTTGGAACTTGGTATAAGGTTGGATGATGGATGTGTTCTCTGTTGACTATTTGTTGTTATTAATTGTCGTTGAACTCCATCGTTGTCATTATTTGTTATTGTTGAGCTTTGTTGATTTACCGTGTAAGCGTAGGATGCATGCTAGTATCTTTGTGGTATTTGTAATGTCGTCTTGTTGTGTCCTGAGTATTGATCTTGATTTTAAAGCTAGCGTTGCCTAAGATTATATATGTATTCCGGTTTCAAAATGATTTTGTATATTTATACGTATTGTACTCAACGCGTGGGAGTGTGTTACTCAGCATTATTCGCTGACGGTAGTTATACCATATGTTTTACAGGTGCTGATCATTAGCTATGGAGCGCGCTAGTTGGACCCGTGGACTTAGCTTATAGTCCTACCGTTAATAGATGGGATGCGTGCTGTGGATTGTATTTGAATATTGATTTATGGATTACACATGTTTGGGTAGTCTTAGCCTGTGCATTAGGTTCTCAAACCTAGGTGTGGCATAACACCCCGACTCTTGCGGATAGTTTATGCTCTATTTGGATGATTATTGTCAGATTGCCTTTATTATATAAGTTTTAAATGTTTTAAAAATTAGGGGTGTTACAGGATTAGTAAGCTCTTGGGTTACGACTTTGAAGTCGAGTTTCGTGCGGGCAGACTTACTACAATGGCAGATGCGTTATCCCGAAGGAACGAGGAAACTTCTTCTCTCATGGTGCTTTCAGCCCCAGTGTCTCCCATTTTGCATTCTATTCATCATGAACTTGCTGCTTTGGATACAGTTCAAACTCTAATTGGAAAAATCAAGATCGGAACTGAGGGACCTAACTGGTCATTGGATGGTGAGCTTATCCGTTACAAAGGTAAGCTCTTTCTTCTTTCGAACTCTCCACTAATTCCGATTATTATTGCATGTTTTCACGACATTTCGCACGAAGGGGCCATAAAGACTATTTTCGCATCTCCCGGGAATTCTTTTGGACTGGGATGAGGGGTGTTGTTCACGATTTCATACGGAAATGCAACCTGTCAACGTTGCAAATGGGAGAAACTCCACCCAGCGGGCCTCCTCCAACCATTGGTCCATTGCCCATTCTGTCGCTTATCTGGAGTGACATTTCGCTAGACCTCATTGAAGGCTTATCGAAAGTTCACATCAAATCAGTCATTCTGTCCGTCATCGACCGCCTGTCCAAGTACGTGCATTTCATTCCCCTCGTTCACCCCTATACAAAGGCCACAGTTGCAAGTATCTTTTTTTGCACATGTTGTCCAGCTTCACGGCATTCCGAAGTCCATCGTCAGTGCTCAAGATGTGGCATTTACTAGTGCCTTTTGGAAGGAGCTATTTCGGTTCAACGGGACTACTCTATCCTTTTCATCCTATTATCACTCGTAGAAGGATGGCCAGACTGAGGTTACTAACCGCACCATTGCCATACCTATGTTGCCTAGTAGGTTACTGCCCGAGAAAGTGGATTAACTACCTTCCTTGGGCCAAATACTGCTACAACACATCATTTTCACTCGGCTTTACAGATTACACCGTTCCGTGTTATTTACGGCTGCGACCCTCCACGTCTCTTGTCCTACGAACCGGGGGTGTCCAACCTTAACGCAGTGGATGTGGTGCTTCGGGACCGCGATGCATTTTTAGTCTTGGTTCGGGACCACCTTAACACTGCTCAGGTACATATGGAAAAGTTATACAATCGCACGAACCGCGATGTTGAATATGATGTGGGACAATGGGTTTGACTCTGTCTACACCTCTACCGACAGCTCTCGGTCAATCGCCGGGTGTTCTACAAGCTCTAGCCGAAGTTTTTTGGTCCTTTCTGCGTACTTAAGCGCGTGGCTAACGTCGCCTACCAGCTCTCCCTTCCTTCTTCCAGACAGATTCATGATGTCTTCCATGTGTCCTTGCTAAAGCCCCTGAACTGCCCCCACAACACGATGGTAGAGTCTTGCTCCAACCTCACCTTGTGTCCAAATCTCGGTTGAATCGAAGATTCAAGGAAGTTTTAGTCCATTGAGTTGGCGCAGCTCCTGAATATGCTTCCGGGGAGCCCTTGAACCATTTTCGGTTGCTTTTACCGAATTTCTAGTCAAATGATAAAACACAAGTGAGAAGTGTGTTTTACACATTTTTGTCAAAAAAAAAAAAAAGGGAAAGCACATTTTGGGAAATGCATACCCTTCCTACACATTTTTGTCATTTGCCCTAAATAAGGGTGACTCAATCCTCGAGAAATCTAACTTACTTGTTCAGGGATGAGGGGGCTGACTCCCTGACCCCACAACCAAGAACTTAAAAGGGTCCCACCAAGATCATGTCTCTTACTGCATGGCACGTTCCTGCAAGCTAGTTAAGCGCTTCATTCAGATTTCAATGGTGACACCACTACTGTGCTCAGTTTTCGCTTCTGCATGAGCAAGTATGTACCTACAGTATCAATACGCAGGGAAAGAAATATCCCATGGAGCAAAGGTAAGAAAACGTTAGATTCTTTTTCTTTTCCAACAAAATATGTTTCGCAAAATCTTAGAATGAAATCTGAAAATCTGCCAAAAGCCAAAAGGCCTTGACAACATACGGCTTGGCAGTTGGCACAATTTCAGGGACCGAAATTCTCTCTATTTTCTCTCTCTTACCTCGTTGGATTAATGATGATCAGTAATCTTGAATAAATGTAGCCCTCTAGCTCCATTTACAATTTTTTTTTTTTTTTTTTTTTTTTTTGGGTTTATCTGAAATTGTATATTGTTTATAGAAACTATTTTTTATTAAACAGTTTAATTTTCAAGAAAAATAAAATCATATTTTGTCCCCAGATTCGGAACCCTCACCTCCTTGACCAGAATCCTGCATCAATCCAGAAAACAAGTATAGGAATTATATGCCCATTTACACATATACGATATACAATTTTCTGTGATTCAATTCTGATGCTGAGTTTCTGGTCTGGGTTTTTCGAGTTTTAATCTTTTGGGGGTCTACATACATTCTTTAGGATTCTTGATGATTTCTCTGTTCCCAAATCTTGTTGAGTAGGTCATTTAACATGCATAGATTATAGACACACATATTCATGCACTTTTGCCCATTTCATTCATTTAGTGAACATTATTGGTGTTGGTTTTGATTGGTAGAATCTGGGTTCTTGAGGTTCTGAGGGTAACCATCTATTGGAATTAATTTGCTTGTGCCCTTTAGGATTTTGGGTTCTTCAGAAAGAATTGATATTTGGGACTTTGGGTGGTATTTGAGACAAGTTCTGGCCTTATTTTACTGTTCAAGTGGATACTGAGTTTTGGCTGATTTGTGTTTTTTAATGGTGGGTTAGAATTGGGACAATAATTGCCAAAATTTGAGTATAAAGATACATTGGAAATCGAATGGCTGGTGAAAGTTGATTATGCGAATTTGGAGCTCATCTGTTTGGCAGAACAAGTTGTTCCCAAGAGATGGGCGGCTTTTGTTCTAAGGAATCAGAAGTAAGTGATTATGGCACTGATGATGAGGCAAGTAAAGAAAAGGAGTCGAGTAAGTCTTCAGTACCGATTAAACTAGATTTAACTAATCCTGTCACAGAAGGATCTGAGCATTCTAAGCATAAGCCGGGACTTGAAAGAAACGGGTCATCTGTTACTGCTTCAAAAGTTGAGGATGATGGGAAAACAAGAACCTTTGAGAGGCCTAGAGGTGGACACCGGAGGGGATCAACTGTGGATCTTGGAATGAGTAGGGTCGTGAGTATGCCTGACAGCGTAAGGGGAGAACAATCGGCTGCCGGATGGCCAACCTGGCTAAGTGCAGTTGCTGCCGAGGCCATTCATGGGTGGCTTCCTCGAAGTGCAGATTCGTTTGAAAAATTAAACAAAGTTAGTTCTAAAGCTTCTTCAAACAAAATTTTTTAGTCACTTGAATACGTCTAGGAGAAATTGTAATCAAAATGAGTATGAAAATTTGAAAACCCATCTTTTTAACAGTATATACTGATATTGCAGATTGGTCAAGGGACATATAGTAGTGTTTACAAGGCCCGAGACCTTACAAATAATAAAATTGTTGCCATGAAGAAGGTAAGGTTTGTGAATATGGATGCAGAAAGTGTTCGCTTCATGTCAAGGGAAATATGTATCTTGCGAAGATTGGACCACCCAAATGTTATGAAACTTGAGGCTGTTGTCACGTCAACAATGTCAGGGAGCTTATATCTTGTGTTTGAATACATGGAGCACGACCTTTCTGGGCTTGCGATAGCTCATGGGTCCAAGTTTACTGAATCACAGGTATGGCTTTCACCTTTTCAGCTTCTGCTAATCTATTAGGTACCGTCATAGATCATGATAGCCACTTCGTCATATCTTCCAAATATCTTCTGTGGCACAATATGGTAGCCAAGTAATATAGTGAAGGTAGAATAAGAAAAGGATACAGATAACAATGTGAATAGTTGATGAATTTCTATTCTCATGGGAGGAACCGAAGAAGTGGGGAAGATTAGGTCAGACGTGTTAAGAGTCCCACATTGAAAATATAAGAGAAAATACGGGTTTATAAGGCTAGGAGTTAGACTAGCTAATTGATTGGATTCAGTCTTTTAGTTTGGTTTGGTCCATGTGCATTATAGCACAGCCCAATCTTTAGATTATAACATGGTATTAGAGCCTGTTCGGTCCACAGATGGATTAGACTAGCTAATTGATTGGGTCCACTTTGTCTTGTATATATTCTTATATATGGCAGATTAAGTGCTATATGCAACAACTGCTTTCTGGATTGGATCACTGTCACAGTCGTGGTGTACTTCACCGAGACATCAAGGGTTCAAATCTTCTCCTCAATGATAATGGTATTATGAAGATTGGAGACCTTGGTCTGGCTACAATTTTCTATCCCGACCAAAAGCAGCCATTAACAAGTCGAGTTGTAACTCTGTGGTATAGAGCTCCCGAGCTTTTGCTCGGTGAAACTAACTATGGAGTGGCCATTGATATGTGGAGTGCTGGTTGCATCCTTGCAGAATTATTTGCCGGGAAGCCTATAATGCCGGGAAGAACAGAGGTACACTCCTTGGAAATCCCTTTTCTTCTTGTACTCTCCAGTCATTTCTTTGTTATTTCCTATACGATACACTTTTCATGTTTGACAGAGACAATTAAAAAATTATCCAGGTAGAGCAAGTGCATAAAATCTTCAAGCTTTGTGGGTCGCCTTCTGAGGAATATTGGCAGAAAACGAGGTTGCCTCTCGCCACTAGTTTTAAACCACAGCAGCCATACACACGCTGCGTCACCGACACCTTCAAGGACTTTCCTCCTTCAGCTTTAACTCTTCTTGACACCCTACTTTCAATAGAACCCGAGGAGCGTGGGACTGCTGCTTCTGCACTAAGTAGTGCGGTACGCAATAACTTTTTCATTGATTTTTGCTTTCTGAAATTCTTATATCCTAACTCCTAATTCCTAAACAACTGTGTATCTTTTTGTATGGAGATTCATGAATTTCACTAGTTAGAATAGGCCCCTTAAATGGCCATTGATTATTATTTTTATTATTACTCCGTATTATTTTTCTAATTCTGAATCTACAAGAATAAGATGAAAATTGTATAATTTTAACTGAAATGACTATTCATGCTATCAGTTGGGTTAATAATTTGATAGTTTTTAATGGTCGCTAAGCACTCTTGCCTCAGAAACTGGTTCATAATGAATCTTTCGTCTCCAGTTCTTCACAACAAAACCGCCACCCTGTGATCCATCATGTTTACCCAAATACCCTCCAAGTAAGGAACTTGACGCAAGGATTCGAGATGAGAAGGAAAGAAGGTATTTTGTTCGTTTGCTAGGAAATAATATTTAATTGATTATTTCCAGATTCAACCTTTATATGTAGTGTTAGCCTAAATACTTGCAGTAAATTCATAAAAACCATTGAAGTTATAATACATGACAATTTTTATGGAATAATACATGAACTTCACGTACATGTTATTCATGCTATTTCCAGGAAAAAAGCTGAGAGTGTGAAAGGGCGTCGAGGTGAAAATAGGAAGAAGAATTCAAGAGAATCTAACGGACCACCTGCAGAATTCAATGCTCAGAGACAGGTCTATTTTCTTGGATTCTTATTGAAAATTTTGGTTGCCATTTAAAATTTTCTTAGTGTTACTGTTTAACATGAATGGCATAGAATTTGCAGGGGCAGTCAAATAACACCCCAAGTAGAGCAGGCTTCCATAATGAGCCACCACCGGAAAATTATAAGAATGGGATCACTCATTCCAATTCGGTGATTCATCCGAATGCATGTAGTCGCAAAGAAAAGGATGTAGGAGGTCAAACAGTCCACAGACTGACCCATCATGGTGGAGAGATGCTAAGTCATGGTTTTCAAAAGACTCGACATGTTAAAGAGTTGTCGAGTACTTTGAGAGACCAGGATACCGGAGTAAGTCCTTAAAATAGTTTTTCCCTTAAACAAGCTTGAACTTTTGCTTCGGTATCCAAATTCACAATTGATATACCATGAGTCCCCTAAACAAGTAAGTCTTATACGAGGGGTAACTCCAGCTTGGCTGGCTAAGGATGCAAACTTGTAACCACAGTAAGTAAGTCCTATACGAGGGGTAACTCTAGCCAAGCTGGCTAAGGATACAAACCTGTAACCACAATGTCACGAGTTCAAATTCTAGTCTTCTTGGTTTGAGTGGTTAGCTATGGGCAACCTAGGCTGGTTTACCTCCTTGTGGTCCTTTGCCAGCTAGGGTCACAAGGCGGGGGTGTAGACCTCTCATTCATAAATTAAGTCCTGTACGAGGGGGTAACTGCAGCCAAGCTGGCTAAGGATACAAACCTGTAACTACAATGTCACGAGTTCGAATTCTAGTCTTCTTAGTTTGAGTTGGTTAGCTATGGGCAACTTAGGCTGGTTTACCTCCTTGTGGTCCTTTGCCAGCTAGGGTCACAAGGCAGGGGTGTAGACCCCTCGTTCATAAATTAAGTCCTATACGAGTCCCTTACATATTGCATGAGGTCTTCTGCACATGATTTCACTATCCTAATTAACCAATGGAAAATGTCATCTATTGTTGCAATAAAATTACCTTCTGGCAAGTGTAGTTTCCCTCCACTTTCAAGCTTCTTGACTTGAGTTATACTTTACCTGTATTTTCAGGTTTATGTTCCGAAGAGAAATAGGATTCATTGCTCTGGGCCATTGATGCCTCCCGGGGGAAACATGGAAGACATGCTGAGGGAACATGAGAGACAAATTCTAGAGGCAGTTCGCAAAGCCAAGACCAAAAATAAGTGATAAGATTAAGTCGATCAGTTTCAGTAGAAATGATGACGAGGGAGAGAGCGCTTGGAATCACGAGCACAATAGTGGTCTGGTTCAGGAGCCAACATAATTTGGATTTGGTACAAAGGTGAGAAACTTAAGATAATTTATACAGAAAGAAGAAGAGAATTCTGCCTATAAGTTGGTTGAACAGTATGGAGATGTTTGCTTTGCTCAACCATATGGTTTATACACAATACATGTATACAATGTAAATCCTTCTCTTATTTTAATAGTCAACATGGTCTGCAAATTTGAAGTTCACTAGGTGGCCTCTGTAACCTGTCCAAAAGTTCAATTTTGTTAGTTAGAGAGATTAGTCCTACCCTACTCTCCTTTTCTTTCAATGAGAAGTGCAGTATATATGTGCCTTTTCACTAGAAAAGTGAAAGTGATTTTCCTGTTTCATTTAAAAATATTGTCCAATATACAACTCAAATTTTTAAGAAACATTTAAAATGGTTCATAGACAGTATTTGAGAAAAGAGATCAAGGTTCGAAACTCAACAGTGGCAGTGTGAAAATTATGCCCAAAGTGGACAAATTCCTTGTGTGCACTGACAGTTGGCTATATCTACTGAGCCACTGAGTTACCGTAATTTACATCCTCTCACATGCTCTGTCGGCCTGGGGTGAGTCGGGGAAGAAGAAACTTTTTTTTTTTTGTCGACCATGAGGTGTCCTGAGCAGGAGACACATTTTAAGTCCGTACCATACTCAGACTAATCCCCATTCAGACCGGACCGATCAAATTAGGAGGCAAAGTGTTGGTCAGATTGATTTTTCCATACGAGGGGAGGTTCAAACTCCCGACCTCTTTTAAGGGACAAGAGTGCACAACCACTTACGCCAACCAAGCTAGTTAGAAGAAACATTTAAAATGAAAATTATTCACCCTGGATGGTAATAGTAGCAATTAGTAACCTTTCATTGAAGCAAATCTTGTTCTATTTACTTCTACATTACATACAGACAGATCTGGTTCAAACCAGCACTAGTGATGCCAAGTACTTAACAAACAAAAACATTAAAGACAATCATACTCTGGAAACCAAAAACATGGAGCCACTATTACTATAAGGCTATTATTATTTAGAAATATATGTGAACCTTATGTACATTGGACTGCAAACAAACTTCTTCATGATTAAACACTAACAGCTCTAAACCATGGGCGCGGGGAATCAAATGTCTTGCTTGGGCTTGCGACTTACTTCTGAGTAACGGCCGCCCATTAGCTGCAAAATCTCTTTCCACAAGTTCTCCGGTGGAGCTATCTGTGATGCCCCAAGAATCAAATTTGCACTACACGCCGCGACATACCAATAATCAGATTCAATCTCTTCCATCAATTGGTCTAGCTGCCACCCTGCATACCCAAAAAAGAATTTAAAATCTTGAGGTTTCAGTACCCCTTTCTTTACTAACGCTGATGCCTCTTCCAAAGTGTTACGAGCACCAAAGGACACGCCTGGAATCACCTCTTCGAACCTGTGAGTGTCAAACTTTCCTTCTGCTCTTAACAAGAACATACTTGCCTCAAGGGGTCCACCAAAATGCAAGGGACACTCGGCGAAGGTTGTCGCCAAGTCAAGATTGCTGGGTTTCATGTGTTTCATCTTTTTCCCCAGTGGGCGGTTTATGACAACTCCAAAAGGCCCCTCTTGAGGATGACTGGTTCCAGATTTGAGGAGAAGAACCACAGTTCTCTCAAAGGTGCGAACTCCATCGAGCTTTTCAGTGGCAACAAGGAGACAACCATTCTCAGGGGCTGCGATTGGGTGAGCCCACTTTGGAGGAAGAGGTTTAAAGCCAAAGGCTGTGCCATCATGCTTGTGAGGGTCAGAGACGGCGATTGCAGCCTGGAATTAGAAATTTTTGGAAGAATTAAGTGAAATGAGCTGTAATTTGAGCATCATAAACTTAACTTACAAATTTCATATTCTTCCACTGTAAAATTTGAGATATGTTCACTTTTGGTCCCCAATTATATCAGTTTTTTGTTTGTTTGTTTTGTTTTTGTTTTTGTTTTTGAGAAGTAAAATAACAAGATAAAGTTATTAGTTTACAGAACAGTTTTTAGAGTTATTAGACTTGACCCCAAAATCTAAATGGAACAATGGAATCTGATACTGCCACAAAATCAGAGGTATGCAATCAGTAAATTTTAAATACTAATTTTGAGATTGACATTATGGTAGGGGGATCAGAAGTGAATTTTTCTTGTAAAAATCAGATGAACACTTAAAACAGAAAAACACATTGCACAGAATTATTCAATTGACATTCTTAGATTCTTGATAGTAACGAGGGGAGTTATCACACTATATGTGAGCATCATACTTCATCATACTTCTCAGTAAATACTCCATAAAGTTACAAACTGGCCTATCTGTCAATAATCAAGTCTATCACAAGCCAATGCTCAACTAAAACTTAATCCTAATATAGTTGGATTTGGCTATACAAATTCTATTTCTCCATTCAACTCTACTAATACTCAAGCCACTTTCCTTGAAAATTCTAAACAAGTGCATCTTAGCAACAACCAGTTCAAAGAATAAAAGAAATATATATATAGATACTGGTTCAAATGCGGACAGTGCTTCCCGTGCGGCCAGTGCAGATTCATCATTAGGTATGCAAAAATGCACTACACAGTGTTCGAACATGCACCACAATGAAATGCACCAATGCACCACACTGCACCTAATGGTGCATTTCCGAACACTTAGTAGTGCATTTTATGCGTACCTAATGGTGAATAACCGCATAGCCGCACGGGAAGCACTGTCCAAAGGAACCTGGCCCTATATATATATATATATATATATATATATATATATATATATATATATATATATATATATATATATATATATGTATATATATGTATCTATATGTATGTATATGTATATATATGTACATATGTATGTATATGTATATATATATATACATATGTATGTATATGTATATATATATATATACATATGTATGTATATGTATATATATATATATATATATATATATATATATATATATATATATAACACTATATATTTCATTAACTGTTGAGGATAATCATTCCCTAATGTCAAAAATAGAGATTGTTTATCACAACTTATTGCTTTCTGAAAAAAGAGGCTTTTTAAAAGAAGCTTCAAGTTGGAGCTTCTTGAAAAAGAGGCCTTTATTTACTTATTTATTTTATTTTGTAATTTACCCCTAAAAGCCCTTTCTATTTTTGTTTGCCCTAACTTCTGCTTTTAGTAGCAGATAAGCTCCAAAATAAGTAGCGCCAAATATGCAATAAGTCAAAAAGGCCAAGAGATGATGTTCATGAATTATCATCGCACACTAACACATTGACAAGGAGATAAACCTTGAGTATGATATATAATTTTAGCATGTGAATGGAGCAGGGATACTTATTAAATCTAATAAAAAGTGACACCTAAAACTCTCTTTTATTGAAGGCTTAGTTTGGTGAAGTGACAATTCATAAACATTCAAGTAAACATCATAAGAAAGGAGATAATACCTGCTCCCGAATATAAAGAGAAGCTCTGAACTCTCTCCAGTCCAAAGGTTTATGATGGGATTCCTGGCCACCATTATTTTCAATGTTTCCTTCAGAAATAGGATTACTTTCTTCAAACGAGTTATCACCTTTCCCTTCATTTTAAGAGCATTGTACTTCGTGAGAGGCTAGTTTAAACGATGGAAATCTGTAACACATTACTTTTTAGAGAGCACAAACACTGAGGAATACGAGAATAGAATTTGACGGGTATATAGCACAACATAGAGCGGAGTAGTGGATTCTTAAAACTATAAAATACATTTTTTATAACTGTAGTAAGTATTAGGAACAATATTGATGCTCTGGACTCTAAACTTGAGTAGCTTCAAATAGAGTCCCATATAGTCTGTATCAACAATGCACCTAAAGAGTGAGTCTCCAGTGAGACCGCGCAAATTATGTTGTGGAAACGTGTTCACTATGCGCATGGTGAACACAGGGGTAAATCCATAATTTCTATGCTGTAGATTCATAATTTTGTTTTTCATTTGTTGTTAACGACGTTTCTCTCTTCGCAATCGCATTATTTCGTCTTCGCAGTTCAGATATTATGAATCTACAGTACAGAAATTATGAATCTACAGTATAAAAATTATGAATTTACAGTATAGAAATTATGAATCTACAGTATAGATGTTATGAATCTACAATATAGAAATTATGAATCTACAGCTTAGAAATTATGGATCTATCCCATGTTCACCATGCGCATGGTGAACACAGTTCCATAGCATAACTATTGGTGCGACCATACTTTTAAATCAAAATGTAATATTTAGGGTTGAATAGTTACTTATGAGAAAAAAATGCCTTTTGTGCTTAATTAGATTCTCAACTTTGATGGTTTTACCCAATTGGGTAGAACGCCGTCAAAATGGGCCCAACCCACTTTCCACCCTATCCCAAATTTATTTAAATATATTTTATGTATTTGAAGTTTGATTTAATGTTTAAAATTAATGTTTACTACAAGAATCAAACTCCAAACCTTTTAATTACTTTAACAATATAGAAACCAACTATACTAATGACATTTTGTGAATATATTTGTATTATTATGTATATATAACTTAGACATATTATGTTTATTACAAGTATTAATTAATATGATTAATTGTAACTTTATATAAATATTAATATATTTATATAGTAAATATAAAGTTTATTTATTACGTTAACTATATAAATTTATAAAAAAACATTTAAACTTTATAACTTAATAATATTATAATTATAAAATAAAAATATTACATATAAATTATATTAGTGTTAAATGTAAATTAAATAAATTATAATTACATTATAAATTAAAATCTAATTATATAAACATAAATTAAAATTTAATTATCTAAACATATATTATATATAAGCACACATCACATTTGTTCAATAAGTTCATTATGTTTAGTTGGTAAAGACTCAAAATTTTCACTAATAGGTTTAGGGTTCGAGTCTTAGTATATATGATTAATTAAAAATTTTAAAAGTAATATATAAATAATTATTTATTTAATTAATACAAAACGAGCTAGCGGGCTGGCCCGTTTAGCCCGCCAACTCGTGCTTGACCGGGTTGGGCCAAAAATCCCAACCCGGATTTGACAATTATTATAATAATAATATTATTATTATAAAGTTATAAAATTTTTATAAATTACTTTTTAGGTGCAGCATATTCTCCTATGAGACTGTCTCACGGATCATTGGTCAGACGGGTCGGATTTTTAATAAGTATTATAATTTTTATCATAATCTTCACTCTTCTAACTCTTAATATTATATTTTGATTTAAAAGTATCACATTTTTCGTCATAAGTACTACACTTT